GGTTGGCATGTTTGTAGCAAGCAGGGACCCTGAGGCTCACTGCTGAGTGAGAAAGGCCTATGGGTAACCTGTCCGAGATTTCAGGCCATTCCCATTTGTGCAGGTGACTTGAGAAGGTGGCCTTTTACTTCAGTCTTTCTGAGAGCAGCTAGAGAGTAAGAAGGTGAAGGGTGGGCCCCAGGGGGGAGGTGGGCGGGTCTCAGCAGGAGGAAGGAACCACGCCTGAGGAGATGGTGCATATGGAGGAGGGCCCTGACCGTGAAGGAAAGGGCAGGTGGAATTCAGACAGGAGGGTTGCACCATGCTGCAGACCTCCCAAGCTAGGCGGAGAGACACCGTCTTTGGAAGTTAGAGTGTCATTGTGATGGGAAAGGCTTGTAGAGCAAGAGTTCTGACTTCACCAACCCATGGTCACGCCTCTCAGAACAGCATGCTGGAGGCTGAGGCAGAAGGACCTCGTGGTCCATCCTGGGCTAAATGGTGAGACGGGGGGGGGGGGGGTGACTTCATGTCATTTGGGGCCTTAGTTAGCTCCATTTGAGCCCTCCTGTGAGCGCCTCCTCCAGTCAGTGACTCCCTGTGCCCGGTGCCTCCCCTCCTGCGCTAATTCTCTTTCTGTTTGCTGAACCAGGCCTCCAAAAGCCAGGACCGAAAGTCAGCCAGCCGGGAAAAGCGATCTGTTGTGTCCTTTGACAAGGTTAAAGAATCCCGAAAGTCCAGAGACTCAGAGTCACGGAGGTGAGCAGGGTTGGCAGGGGACAGCCAAGGGTTTGTGAGAATGGCGGGCAGGTGCGTTGAGGGCTCTCTGTTGAGATTGCTGCCTACAGGACTTCACCGTTCTCAGACCACAGGAAGTAGCCAGCAGGGTAGGGACAGTGGAGATATTCAGGATGGATCGGGAAAAGGGATCGCAGGCCTTTAAAAGGCCAGCTGGGCAGTGCACCGTTGCAGTTCCTAAAGAGCCCTTTGCTCAAGGGAGTGTGTTCAGAGTGAGTGCCAGGGCAGCCAGGCCCTGGCACAATGGGGAAGGGCCTCTGGCTGCTCTGCTGGGCTTGGTAGGTTCCTCCTGTGGAGAGGAGGGCACAAGGTGGCAGCTGCACTTGTCGCTGTGAAGTGTGGCGTCTGAGCTTGCCGCCCCCAGCACGCCCCGTCTTGGCCTCCTCTCACAGGGAGCGGGAGCGCAGTGAACGAGAGCAGCGGCTGCAGGCGCAGTGGGAGCGGGAGGAGCGGGAGCGGCTCGAGATCGCCCGGGAGCGCCTGGCTTTCCACCGCCATCGGCTAGAGCGCGAGCGCATGGAGCGAGAGCGGCTGGAGCGAGAGCGCATGCACGTGGAGCAGGAGCGGAGGCGGGAGCAGGAGCGCATCCACCGTGAGCGCGAGGAGCTGCGGCGCCAGCAGGAGCTGCGCTATGAGCAGGAGCGCCGGCCTGCAGTGCGCAGGCCCTATGATGTGGACGGCCGGTGAGCAGCCAGGGATCCAGCCACCGGGCCAGGCGCATGGGGCAGGGGCGGGTCTCACACCGACTAATTTGGAGCCTGCTTCGACCCTTGGTGTGTGAGGCTGTAGGCAGGCAAGTGTCCTGTGACGCTGCCAGTGCTGAGGCCTTCCAAAGACCAGGCCACTCAGCACCCAGCGTGGCACTAAGGCAGAGGTGGCGTGTTTGCTCCAAGGCTGTATTACACCTTCCACAAGGAGGGCTCTGGCCAGGGACTTGGAGCCGCGCAGACTCCATGTGCCTCATGTCCCTGCCTCATACCCCTCACAGGCGTGATGACGCCTACTGGCCAGAAGCCAAGCGGGCAGCACTGGATGACCGCTACCACTCAGACTTTGGCCGCCAGGACCGCTTCCACGATTTTGACCACAGAGACCGGGGACGTTACCCCAACCACTCTGTGGACAGGTGAGCCCCCATGACCGTGTTGGGAGGGCTCTGCAGGCAAACCCCTCCCCATCTGGTCTCACTGAAATCACGTTTTTTAGGAGAGAAGGTTCGAGGTCGATGATGGGAGACAGAGAAGGACAGGTAAGCGTGGCACCGCATCAGCTGTGGAGGGGTGTCCCACTCACCATGCTGCTGCCGCGGCTGGCTCTGGAGCATGGTACTGGCCACCTCCCACGCGTGCACCCTGAGCCAGCTGAGTGTCAGTCGCAGCCCCATGCGCACTGCTCTCTGGGGAACACTAACGCTCTCACGTCCGTCTGCACCACTGCCGCTCTTGGCTGCGGCCACCCTCGACGCTGTCTGACTTACCATCACCAAGCTGGTACCAGGGTTGTCCGCAGCCTTGCATAACTCATTCCTCAGCCCTATGGCTTAGCTTTGCCACAGGCTGCCATCATGGGCACCGTTTTCACACAGCTACTTGCCTGTGTCGGAACAGGTGACCGGCAGTAGCCTGGGTGCTTGTTCATTTGTACATGCAGTTGTCACTCTGCAAAGAAGGGCAGTGTCTGACTCGAGAGATGGGAAGGCAGAGAGAACTGGCCCAGAACTCCGAGACTGGTTGGGCAAGAGGCTGGGGGCTTGGGAGGTGCTAAATGCACTTGGCTTCACCTGGTGTCTGTCAGGCCTTGGGCTTGATGCAGGGTTTTGGTAGAGCAGTATTTGAGCCAAGGATAAATGAATGGCTCGTGCTTATCTCACCCACCACTCAGGCGGTTAAGGTAGGGGCTAACCGAGGCTAGTGTATCTCCTGGGCCACAGAGTGAGTGAGGCCTTGGGCAAGGGTTCACGTGGGTGTCGTGTGCCGTCACTTTTGTTGGTGACTCAGTTGTGGAGCGAGGGTGCTGTGCATAGGCTGTGGCTCTTGTTCGGAGCCTTGTGAACCTAACCCTTTGTGAGGAAGGACACTATGACAATGCCACATACTCTGGTCCCTGAGCTTTGCGTCCTCATGTCTGGGGATCAGGCAATGCTGACCTCGCCTTTTTCTCTGGTCCAGCATTACCCTGAGCGCCATGGAGGACCTGAGCGCCATGGCCGGGACTCTCGAGACGGCTGGGGCTACAGCTCTAACAAGAGAATGAGTGAAGGCCGGGGGCTGCCCCCTCCTCCCAGGTTTGTGTCCCACCCTCCCATGGCCAGGCCTGGGGACTGTGAGCCCCACCCCCACCCCAGCCATGCTATTTGCCAAGGGCCTGGTGTGGCAGTGCAGGTCAGAGGTGTCTCTTTCCAAGGGGCAGGCGTGACTGGGGGGAGCACAGCAGGCGACTTGAAGATGACCGGGCGTGGCAGGGTGCAGCTGATGGAGGCATGATGGAGCGTGAGCACAAGAGGTGGCAAGGTGAGGACCAGGTGGGGGTCCTGGCCACTGGTTAAGGAGGGATAGGGCCTGGGGTAGGATAGGGCCAGGTGCGACCACACTTGGAAATGTGCCTCGTCCCGCAGGTGGTGAGAGAAGCATGTCTGGTCACTCAGGGCCTGGCCACATGATGAACCGTGGTGGCATGTCAGGGTAAGTGCTACACTCCCAAGGAGGCAGTGGTCACAGGCTGCGGCAGTGAATGGGACGACCTGTGGCTTGGGGAAGGCTGGCTAGGGCTTCTCCTTATCTCCTTAGGCGTGGCAGTTTCGCCCCCGGTGGGGCCTCACGTGGCCATGTGATTCCACGTGGAGGGATGCAGGGAGGCTTTGGAGGACAGAGTCGGGGCAGCAGGCCCAGTGATGCCCGATTCACCCGCCGCTACTGAGCACCTGTGCCGCCCGGCTGTGTGACCCGTGTCCTGTCGGGACTTCTCCCACCATTGTACAAAGGATTTTTTTTTAATCTGCCATATTGTAGCTTGTTACAATGTGAATTTGTTTTCATTTTGGGTTTTGTTGCTGTTTTTTGTAATAAACGTGTTTCTGTTCATGTGCCCTTTACTTCAAGCCTTCAAGGTTGGCCTCTCGTTTCCATCAGGAGGGAAGTGGGACTCCACAAGCAGCCAGAGGCAGTGTCCATGGTGCTGCCTGTCCTAGCTGTGGCTCAGCACCTGTGGCCTTGGCTGCTTGAGGCCTGCACTAGGGCCCATGTTGTGAGCTCAGGCTTTAGTGAGCATAGTGGACATGCAGGGCTGCCCTTACTGCAGAAACCAGGCTGGCTGCTGCTGCTGGGGGCAGCAGGGGGTGGGGGATACAGAGCTGACTCTAGAGGTCGTTCACATCCAATGGGGTACAAGCAGAGGCAGTCCCAGATTTTGGGGTTTAAGGCACATGTCTCCAACTTTGGAACTTCAGCAGAGTGGCACAGTGATAACCCGAATGCCGGGTGTCCTCTGCAGTCCAGGACTGGACCTGGGACAAGACAGTTGGTTGAGCCAGCCAGCCACCATGCCCTTCCTTCATCTGTTCCCTGCATTTCCAGGCTGTTCTGTGAATGTGTTAATAGCTGGGTGACCTGTTGAGCATGGGTACATAAGCTGCAGAGCTCCTTGTGGCAGAAGCTGTGCCTGGAGGTGGCCTGGAGTCCCGGCTCTCTGCATCCCCGTACCTTCTTGATCCTGCCTGAGGGCTGCAGTGATCCCAGCATCCATGACAAGCAACTCAGGACTGCCTGCAAGTCCAGTCCAAGGAATGGGCAGTGTAGACACACACATGAACACGTGTGCACAATGAGGGACAGTAAACTGAGAAAATGCCGCCATCAGATTGGCCTGTGGGCATTTTTTGATTGATGAGTGATATGTGAGGGCTAATGATCCTGGGTGCCATTAGAAAGCAGGCTAAGCAAACCCAAGCCCACACACAGCGACCCTACATGGCTTCTGCTTGAGTCCTGCCTCTGGGTTCCTGGCAGTGATGGGAGTATGGCCTGAGAGGACCAAGCTGAGCTGCTTTCACAGCAAGAGACCCTAAGACACAGTTTTCTTAAATTAGAAACTGAAAACCCTTCTGGGCTCTAAAGCATTAACATTGGAACACAGGGATCCCCAATGGACAGAGCTATGCCCCCCAAAAACCCAAGTGATCCAGGTTCCTCAGGTGCTCTGCATCCCCCCACGAAACACAGGGTGGGGACTATTCCCAAGTTCTTTATTGGAAGCTGCCTTCAGAGTGGGGTCCCCACTGCGGTCGCGTCTGCGGAACCCTGGTCTTGCCCACCCCATAATGCTGGGGCAGGTGGCATCTGCTACTTGCTGTGTTGTTTTACATACTCCCAGCCCTCCTTGGAGTATTCTTGGGCCTTGCTGGGGGCCACGGACAAAGCTGCCATGACAGAGATGATGCCTGCAGGGACAATGCATGGGTGCCAATGAGACCCCATCTTGCCAGAACCACTCTCAGCCAGCCCCCGAAGAAGCCCAAGGGTGGGAACTGGGGCAGGGTTGAGGGGGGCCACAGCTTGCCTACTGTTTTACAGACTTTCATTCCTCTGTGTAGCCCTGGAACTCAAACTCTTCCTGCCTCGACCTCCAGATGCTGGGGTCACAGGCATGGACCACCATGCCCAGTGCTTCTACTTAGCTCCACAAGTGACACAGGCACGCAGGGAGGAAGGGAGAGGAACAGCGAGGCAAACAGGGCGGGATAGGCTGGCATGCCCAGGCATCCCCCAAGCAGAGGCACGGGGGGCCTACCTGAGTTCCAGGAGTCACGGAAGTTCGGGAAGGTAATCTTTGGAGGGGCTGGGAGCTGGGGAGAAAGAGGAGCACGGGGCTGGTGGGGAAAGGTCACACCTTACCACCCAGACCAGAATGGGCCAGTCAAGCCCCCTCCTCTCTCCCAGACAGGGTACCTGTGGCATCTCCAACCCCGTCTGCTGGCACACATACTGGCTGAGCTGGTACATCGCTGGTGGCACCACCTCCTCGGCCTTTCTTAGAGCAGCCTCGCTCTTGTCACTGGGCCCCAGCAGCTCCTGGTCATAAACGAGGTAGACTGCTCCCCCAGCCACGCTTCCCTTGATAAGGAACCTGCGGGGAGACGGGAAGGGACTGGAGCTGGGGGGCAGCGTCTCCGGGGACCTCACCAGTTCACCAGGTGACACCCTGGGAGCCAGGGGGCAAGGGTCATCTAAGTGGTAAACCGCGTCTTAAAGGAAGGGATAGTGGGTCGTTCGAAACCCTGCCGAGAGCAAAGCCTTCCATGTCACTCAGACTCCGGAGAGGGGTGAAGGGCAAGCTTTCCCCGCATCCCCATGGCGCGGAAGGGAAAACCTAAGCTGCAGGTGACGAGGCTGGCTGAGAGGTAGGGAAGGAGAGATCCAGTTAGCTTTGCCAGTAAGCCCGGTTCCCTACGTTGGCCGTGAGGAGAGGTCTACACACAGCCGGAAGTAAGCATTCGCAGGACACCAAGCTGCAAGGCACAGATGCCTATAGCACGGAACTTTCTCGAAGGCTCAGGACCCAACCCGAGTCTCCACGCACCTCATTAGCGACCATACTCGAGCCACCATAGTCGATCTCTCGCTTCACTCCCCGCGCAAGGACACGCAATTCGCCCGCCGCTTCCGGTGGGCGGTGTTGCAGAGGTTCCTGGGAAATGTAGTCGTCGGGAGCCGCAAAGGACTCCGGGAACTACAATAGGTTTAGACTCAGTATATCCAGGACCGTGGTTGCCGCAATGCTTTCTGGGAAATGTAGTCGGGAGAAAAAACCAAAACCAGAGCTGGTCTAGACCGCGAAGCCTCTTGGGAAATGTAGTTTGGAGGGTCGATGGAAGGAGCCCTCAAAGGATGCTTATGGGATCCTCGCGCCTGCGCGAAGGATTGAGTATCCCTGAGGTCTAGTGAGCCTAGGAGGCAGTTACTACGGCAACGCGAGGGCGGGATTGTTCCGGAAGGCTTGTCTTTCATCACGTCTCGGGGTGTGGCTTTCATCTAGTGGGCTAGGCAGAGCCTGGCTGGTAGGAATCTGGCCAAGGTTTTTGCCAGGGACTCCTATCCCCATATGCCAGGAAGCTCGGGGTCACATGACACGGGGTTGGCAGTGTGTGTGGTCCCGGGTCAGGTGTAGGGAGCAAAGAAAGAGGTAACAAAGACGATGATCATATAGACCCCTGTTCCGCTGCAAGGTGGGGATAAGTGGTTGCCGAAGGCCGGAACAGGGGACTGACAAACTTTATCCTTTTATCCAGCATGGAACTCGAGAACCCAGAGATCATGGGGCACAGACTTCTTAGCGGGTCCGAATGCTAGCTACATGCCTGCATTCACTGTGCTGCTGCAGGCACAGGCCCAGCCACCGTCCATCTCTATGTCTACCCACATACCCTTTCATCCACGTATACACACACCTACCTATCCACGCGTCCACCATCCATCCATCCATCCACGCACCCATCCATCCACCCACCCGCTCACCTTTCTTTAATCAGAACCCGGAGTTTCACAGGCTCACACTGGGAGTGGGAAGTGGGCATATGAGGGAGATTCATGAACTTCACAACCCAGTACTTCTCCCTTTGCTATTTCAGCCTTTTGGGTTTGGGAAACTTCCTCTCTTGTCTTCAGACTTAGATAGAAATTCCAAGGTAAAAAAGACCTGTGTCACCAGGCAATGGGAGCACACGACTTTAATCCCAGTACTCTGGAGGCAGAGGCAGGCAGATATCTGTGAATTTGAGGCCAGCCTGGTCTACAAAGTGAGCTCCAGGACAGCCAGGGCTACACAGAGACACCTATCTCAAAAAAACAAAAATAAAAATAAAAAATTCATCTTTGGACCTAAGATTTCAAACAATTAAATTATATTAGGGAAAAGCGTTCCAAGCAGAGAATGGAGATAGGTCAGACTGAGCAGGGAGGGCTGGTCCCTGGAGGACCTTGGGCAAGTCACCTCTGTACCGGTTTCTCCCCTGGCTAAGTGTCCACAGGAACGTACCTGCATTGTGTTATGGTGTGATTCTTGCTCAGAATCCCACACGGAAGTCAGGAACAGCAAGGGTGCACCCACAGAAGTAGGGGACACCGGGGGGGGGCATCATGAGCACCCTGAAGGTTTCTACTGTCCTTCCTCAGAACTGAAGCTTGCCTCTTGGACTCTAGGCCCGGCCCGGCCCCTGCCCACTTTGGCCCCTCCTCCTGGCTGCTGCTCATTTCCCCAGCCCTCCTGCGCCTGTGTTCTAGGTCCGCTTCTCCCCACCTTTGGGAGCCGCGATGCTCGACTCAAGCCCGCTGTTCCCAGGTCAGACGCTCTGAGTACCCAAGCTTCAGCTGACGACCACGCCTTCCCGCCTTGACTTCGCCCAAGCTCTGCCCCTCTTGCTGGCCCCTCCTACTCCAGCCCGAGACCTGCCCTACAGACAAGCTTTGCCCGCTGCATGCCCCAGGGTTAGCACAGTCAGCTGCGCAGCAGAGCTTCCAGGTGGAGGAGGTTAGTTCCTCCCAGTCATTGTACCAGAGAGCGTGCCCACGGCCTCGCCACTCAGCTGTGGACACTCATACCTGTGACACCTCCCAGGGACCACTCAGCCGTCCACTGGGGACCAGCAGGGCTGGACCAGGCCCTGCATTGTAATCAGTTTGACTCTGTGGTTCAAATTCCTCAGGCTTGCCGGGCGGTGGTGGCACACGCCTTTAATCCCAGCACTCGGGAGGCAGAGGCAGGCGGATCTCTGTGAGTTCGAGGCCAGCCTGGTCTACAGAGTGAGTTCCAGGACAGCCTCCAAAGCCACAGAGAAACCTTGTCTCGAAAAACCAAAAAAAAAAAAAAAAAAGAAAAGAAAAACAATACCTGTCGCAAAAAACAAATTCCTCAGGCTGGCAAGCGTGGAGTGTTGGAGCTTGAGCCAATAGAGGAGGCCCAGGATACCCCTCGCCTACCAGAGCGTTTGGTCCTTATAAAATGGGTGCGGTGCACATCTGTCATTAACAGGGAGGTCAGGCTGGGCTCCGAGAGACCGTCCATCAAAACAAAAAGCAGGGGGTGCGGGGGGAACGAGTGACTCTAAACCATTTGGCAACCCTCCTTACCCATGCTGTTACAACCCAAGGCTGGCACGGGACTCCGAACTCCTTCCATGAAACCCAGATCTCAGTTCCGGGGGATCTGGGTTCGATTCTGGAGCCCTCGTGGGCGAAGCTAGCAGAGATCCGTCAACTGACCTGAGATGGGTCAGGCTTTTACCAACCCCTAAATAAATGTTTTGCTTGTGTTTGAAATGACAGCAGTTCTGGGGGCTGGCTCAGCACTGGCTATGTAACAGAGGACTGTCGCCCATGTGGAGCACAGACACACATGCACACAAAACACCTATATTTTTTTGCCTGTTTTTTTTTTCAAGACAGTGTTTCTGTGTAGCCTTGGTTATCCTGGAACTCTCTTTGTAAACCAGATTGAACTCGCAGAGATCCTCCTGCCTCTGCCTCCCGAGAGCTGGGATTAAAGGCGTGTGCCACCACCACCTGTTCTTATTTATTTTTTAAAGTTAGATTTACTCATTTTATTTTATGTGTTTCATCGGCAGATATGTCTGTGTATCACGTGCGTGTCTGTGTGCTGCCCACAGACGCCAAAAGACGGCATCAGTTCTGTACCCCACTTTTTGATTGGATCCTTTTGTGTTCTGAAGACTTGCTTGAGTTCTTTGTAGATTTTGAAGATCAGCCCTCTGTCACATGTGGGGTTGGTGAAAATCTTTTCCCATTCTGTGGGCTGTATTTTTGTCTTGTTGACTGTGTCCTTTACTTTGCAGAAGCTTCTCAGTTTCAGGAGGTCCCATTTAATAATTGTCAATCTCAGTCTCTGTGCTGCTGGAGTTATGTCAGTGTGGCTGGATTTATGTTGAAGTCTTTGATCCATTTGGACTTAAGTTTTGTGCATGCAATAGACATGGATCTATCTGCAGTCTTCTACATGTCAGCCTCCAGGTATGCCAGCACCATTTGTTGAAGATAGACAATTCTCAATAGAAGATTCTAAAATGGCTGAGAGACACTTGAGAAAGTGCTCAACATTCTTAGCCATCAGGGAAATCTAAATCAAAACAACTCTGAGATACCATCTCACTCCCGTCAGAATGGCTAAAATCAAAAACACCAATGACAGTTTATGCTGGAGAGGATGTGGAGAAAGGGGAACACTCCTCCACTGCTGGTGGGAGTGCCAACTCGTACAGCCACTTTGGAGATCGGTATGGAGATTCCTCAGCAAAATGGAAATCAGCCTACCACAAGATCTAGCAATTCCACTCTTGGGCATGTACCAAAAAGATGTACACTCATACAACAAGGACGTCTGTTCCACTACGTTCATAGCAGCATTATTTGTTATAGCCAGAACCTGGAAGAAACCTAGATGTCCCTCAAGTGAACAGTGGATAGAGAAAATGTGGTACATTTACTCAGCAGAAAAAAAATAGAATCTAGAAATTTGCAGGCAAATACATGGCATTAGAAGAAACCATCCTAGCCGGGCGTTAGTGGCACACGCCTTTAATCCCAGCACTCCGGAGGCAGAGGCAGGTGAATCTCTGTAAGTTCAAGGCCAGCCTGGTCTACAGAGCGAGTTCCAGGACAGTCCCCAAAACAATAGAGAAACCCTGTCTCGAAGAACCAAAAAAAAAAAAAAAAAAAAGAGGAGTGATGAGCATAGGAATCAAGACCAGGCTGGCGGAAACCCATAGCGGCAGGTGACGTGAACAAGAGGGAATGCATGGACCCCAGACTGAGACCAACATGGGACTAATCCAGGCCCCCACCCCCAACCTAGGTATCAGAGAAGAGGCCTCGGCAATGTATGGGACTTTGAAGAGTGTTTGCATTTCGGGCAGATCAGGATGGAACAGGAGTGGGTCAGGTATTCTGGCACTTGGGAGTCACAGAATACTGAGTGTTACACAGCTCAGGGGGAAAGGTATCCTGGAGCTCGGGAGCCAAGGACCACCACAGATTGTAGTAAGCATAGCTGCATACAGCCCAGCCTCAGGGAAAGGCTTCCCCAGTGTATCTGCTCTGCTCTGGCAGGAGAGGGTCTTCCAGCTGGGGATGTTTGCCCAGTGTAGCAGTTTTGCTCAGCAGGAGTCTTCTCCAGCGAAGTTGCTACAGTTCAGCTCTGCTCCTGGAGAGCAGGGAGCGGAGAGTGGAGCTCTGCCAAGGGAAGGTTTCCCTGGCAAAAGTGTTATTGCCCTGCTATCTCTGCTGCAAAGGAAGATCTTCACCCAAAGCTCATCTGAAGAGGTTATTAGAAGGAAGCAACTGGACCAGCCAAGCTGAAAATACACAGGGTTTATATAGGGATTCTTGGGGGGGGGGCTTTTCCAGGGTGGGGATTGGCCCGATTTCAGTGCTGAGCTCAGATTGGCTAGAGCCCTGCTCGAGGATTGGTTAGTTTTCTGCGCAGGATTAGGGTCAGATTTGGCTCTGGTTTCAGGGCCAAAGTGTGTTTCTTTCCCTGGTCCTTTTTAACCTTTTGGCTCCAATTTTAGGGCCAGAGTGCATTTCTTTCACTGACTCAGATTCCAGTGACAAACTGTGTTCCTTTGGCACTGGTTTCAGGGTCAGGGTGTATTTCTTTGGTTCTGGTTACAGGGCCAAAGTGTGTTTCTTTGGGTCTGCTCAGGGTATGTTTCTTTGACTGGTCCCTTTTCCCTACAAAGAGTAGATCAGTATTTATCCCTGGCATACAAATGGGCTCTGAGAGCCCATTCCACATGAAGGGATGCTCTCTCAGCCTGGGCACATGGGGGAGGAACCAGGCCCTGCCCCGGATGAAATGACAGACTTTGGAGATCCCTCATGGAGGGTCTCACACTCCCTGGGGAGCAGAAGGGAGATGGAGTGGGATGGGGGGGGGGTTGGAAGGAATGGGGGTAGGGAGGAGGGGAGGGACAGGGAACTGAGAATGACATGTGTAAAAAGTTAAATAAAATATTTTTTTTTAAAAAGAGGGCATCAGATGCCCTGGGAGTGGAGATCAGATGTCCCAGATCTGCCATTGTGGATGCTTAGGATTGGACCCAGGTCCTTTGGAGTAAATTCAGTGCCTTAAACCTTGGTGCTGTCTCTCTAGCCTGATAACAAGAACTTTAAAAAGCGTTTTTGCGCCGGGCGGTGGTAGTGCACGCCTTTAATCCCAGTACTCGGGAGGCAGAGGCAGGCAGATCTCTGTGAGTTCAAGGCCTGGCTGGACCGATAGCCTCCAAAACAATACAGAGAAACCCTGTCTCGTAAAACCAAAAAAAAAAAAAAAAGCGTTTTTGCTGTCAGAGAAACTTGCTTCAACAGCCTGGAACTCATAACCTAAGGGAAGACCCAAGCTCACAGCCATGCCCACCCGCCCAGCTCATTACGAGCTGGTTGAACCGGTCGTGCATATTCATAGGTGCCGCGCAGCCTCCCGCCACTAGAGGGAGTCCGCGGCGCGCCTGCCTCTCTGGCCGCAGCGGCCAACAAGCGGCAGATATCCCAGGGTTCCGCGCGGCGCCGTCCTTCCTGTCGCGGCCGCCATCGGAGAGGAGCAGGTAAGTGGAGCTCGTCCGGGCGGCATCTGCCGCCATCGGGGCTCCGGGGCCCGCGGGGTGCGTCGGAGGGCGGGCGGACGGGCCGGTGTGCGGGCTCTCAGCCGCTGTCTCGTCCTCGCCGCCCGCAGCCATGGCCCTGCGCTACCCCATGGCCGTGGGCCTTAACAAGGGCCACAAGGTGACGAAGAACGTCAGCCAGCCGAGGCACAGCCGGCGGCGCGGGGTGAGTGCGGCGCTGCCGCGAGCGCGGGGACCCGGAGAGGCCGGGTGGCTGGGCGCGGGCGGGTAGGGGAGCGGGGCGCGGGGAGGGAAGGGAGCGGGGAGCGGGGAGCGGGGCGCGGAGGGGGCCGGGCCGGGGACCGGGCGGCCCCGGCAACGCTGGCCCCGCGTCCCCGCAGCGCCTCACGAAGCACACCAAGTTCGTGCGGGACATGATCCGGGAGGTGTGCGGCTTCGCGCCCTACGAGCGGCGCGCCATGGAGCTGCTCAAGGTGTCCAAGGACAAGCGCGCGCTCAAGTTCATCAAGAAGCGGGTAGGCAGCGAGCTCGGCGGGCGGGCGGGCGTGCGTGCGGGGGCGGCGGGGCGGGCTGGCGGCCGGGCCCCGGTGACGCCGTGACTCCGCACAGGTGGGCACGCACATCCGCGCCAAGAGGAAGCGGGAGGAGCTGAGCAACGTGCTGGCGGCCATGCGGAAGGCGGCGGCCAAGAAGGACTGATCCCCGTTTCCCAATAAACGTTGTTCGGGCAGACGTGCGTGCGTGTGTCTGTGTGCCGCGTTCGCCGGTGACTCAGGGAGGGACTCGGGCGGCTGCGATCGACTGTTTATTATTCATGATTCTCCACTGCTCGTGGCTGCGCCACGCCATGATTACTCAGGGACCACCCGCCCCGGTCACCGCTCCACCGCCAGCACCTCGCGCTGCTCGTGCGGGGGGAAGGCGATGCGGAAGATGTCGCGGTAGTGCTCCACGAAGTGGACCTCCAGGCCCTCCGTGATGAAGGGCGCCAGGTCCGAAAAGTCCTTTCTGTTCTCGGCCGGCAGGACGATGCAGGTCACGCCGGCTCTCTTGGCCTGTGGGGACAAGGCGGTCAGGAGCCCCGGCCTCGGCACCCTGCGTTGCCAGGACAGGCAGCAGGCACTCACCGCGATGGTTTTCTCTTTGATGCCCCCCACGGGCAGCACTTTGCCGGTGAGGGAGACCTCCCCCGTCATGGCCAGGTTCTGCAGCACGGGCTGCCCCAGAGCCAGGGACAGCAGCGCTGTCACGATGGTGCAGCCCGCACTGGGGCCGTCTTTGGGGGTCGCGCCCTGCAAACAGAGGGAGAGGCCGGCGGTGAGCCCGCGTGGCGGGACAGGCTTGAGGGGCAGCCGGGTGGGCTCCTACCTCAGGCACGTGCAAATGGATGTGGGAGGTGACCAGGAAGTCGTTGTCGGGGTCCTGCTCCATCAGGAAGGCCCGCGCGAAGGTGTAGGCGATGCGAGCGCTCTCCTTCATCACATCCCCCAGCTGCCCCGTTACCTCCAGGCTGCCCTCCTTGTCGTCCCTGCCGCCCCGAAGCAGGGGCCGCCTTAGAGATGTCTCCACGAACAACGTGGAGCCGCCTGGAAGACAAAGGTGGCCTTTCTTCCTGCTCCTGGCAGCCCGCACACGGGGGGGGTGTGCTGCATGGGGTGGGTGCTCACCCATAGCAGTCCAGGCCAAGCCCATGACCACGCCAGCAGGTGTGACATCGTACATGCGCTCCACAGTAAACACTGGCTTCCCCACGAAGTCCTGTAGGTTCTCCGGTGTCACCTGCACAGTGTCTGACTCCCCACTCACGATCTTGTAGGCGGCTTTGCGCAGCACCTGCAGACGGGAGGGTGTGGGTGGGCCTGGGCGGGACGGGGCCTTGCTGTGGGTGCCCGCGGTGCAGCCTTACCTTCTCCACCTGCTTCTGCAGGTTTCGCACCCCGCTCTCCCTGCAGTACTGCTTGATGAGCAGAGTGAGCACTGCTGCAGACAGCTGCGCCTTGCTCTCGTCCAGACCACACAGGGCGCGGGCCTGTGGCACCAGGTACCGCTGTGGGGAGCATCCATCTGTCAGCAGTGCCCACTGCCCCCACCCACTATACCGGTGGGGCATCCTGGGGTCCCACGCTGTTCCTCCCTAGCCTTCAGACACCACCTCAGCCCTTCCTCTCAAGCAGGGATGTGCAGGCCGGCCAGTGCCACAAGCTGTGACAGCTCCGGAGGGGGGATCACAGCCCTGTCCTGAGGGCCACAGGCCCCAAATGTGGCCTGAGACCTCTGCCCAGCACCCGTCGGCAGGCTTAGGGCTAATGTGGGGACCGGGTCTGGCCCTGTGCCCTCCACACACCTCCGCGATGGCCAGCTTCTCCTGTGCTACATAACCCGACACATTGATCATCTCCATGCGGTCCCTCAGCGGCTCTGGGATGGTGTCGGTGACATTGGCCGTGCAGATGAACAGTACCTGGGTGACAAGGGGGCACGGTGCTGGAGGCTGGGTGCACCCTCTCACAAAGCCGCGGCAGCAGGACACGGTACCCGCCAGCTCACCTTGGACAGGTCGACTGGCACATCTAGGTAGTGGTCCAGGAAGTTAGCGTTCTGCTCAGGGTCCAACAGCTCCAGCAGAGCAGACGATGGGTCCCCTTGGTAGCCTCGGCCAATCTTGTCCACCTGGGTGAGGAAGGCAGCTACCATGGGACCATGCCTGACTCCCATACCACATGCTAGGCTTAGGTGGGGGTCTTAGACCACTGCCTGACCCTCCTATCCCGAGGCTCCCCCACCTCATCGATCAGCACCAGCGGGTTCTCTGTCTTGGTCTTTTTCAGACACTGGATGATCTTCCCAGGCATGGCCCCCACGTAGGTACGCCTGTGGGGAGGCAACACTCAGTGTGGGTGGGCATGCTGAGCAGAGAGAGAGGCCCACTTGGAGGCAGCCTCACACGGTCACCCCAGTGACCAGCCAGCATCGTCACAACCTGTAGTCATGCTCAGCCCACTCCCGTCTTAAGACAGGGCGGCGATAAACAAGGACCCCAGCCGGCTCAGGATGGCGAGGGTGCCACTGTAGGGCGTGAGCAGAGGCTGGTGAGTGGGAGGAGCAGCAGCCAGGCCCCTGTGGCAGGGAATGGATAAGACCCTGAGGGGTGGAGCCGTGGTGGCCACAAGGGAGGGCTTTGCTACAATGACAAGGTCCTTTTTGCCAGGGGAGGGTCTCATGTAGCCCAGGCTGGCTTAGAGCTGCAGAGTTCATCAGCTTGGTCTCGGTGCTTAACTCAAAGCCTGCCAGGCTCCGGCTCTCCTGTAACTGCCTCCCCGCACATCAGGGGGTCCCACACAGGATGCACATTGAGGTGCAGTTCAGGTATGGTGGCAGATCTCTCAATTGAAGAGCAACCTGGTATACATAAGGGTTCCAGGACAGCTAAGGCTACATAGCAAGACCATCACAAAAAACGAAGTCCAGGCCAACAACCCTCCTGCCTCTGTGGATCTGTGTTCACCCTGCTCAGTACAAACCTCCATCTTCCCACAGGGAGCAGGAGCCTGAGTCATGCTGCCTCCTTGCCCAGTCAGATGGGTGCCGCGCCTGGCCTACCTACCTGTGCCCCTTGATTTCAGCCACATCTGTCATGCCGCCAACACTGAAACGGAAGTATTCCCGGCCAAGGGCACGGGCAATGGAGCGCGCGATGCTGGTCTTGCCCACCCCTGGTGGGCCATGGAAGCAGAGGATCTTGCCCTGGGTGGAGCCTCGGAGCTGGCTGACAGCTATGAACTCCTGTAGAAGCAAAGGAGGCTCAGTGCTCCTGAGGGCACAGGCCTCCAGGGCCCTCACCCAGAGTTGTGAGGAGTCCCTTCTTGTCCCAAAGGTCTGGGCTGACAGGCTGTAGTCAGAGGTGTCAGTCTGACCACAGCACACTTTATCACGACAGTCCCCGCCCCTGCACACCAGGCTTCTGGTGACACCTGAGCCCCAGTTGGGTAGCTGGCTGCTTCTCCAATGGCAGGATGTAAGGGCAAAAATGAAGCCGTCTGCCCTTGGCAGTGGTAGTGTATGTGCCGTGGGCCTTACCAGAACACGCTTCTTCACGTCCTCCATGCCATAGTGGTCCTCCTCCAGCACAGCCTGGGCCCTAGTCAAGTCAAGGTTCTCATCGCTGTGCCGGCCCCACGGGATGGATGTCAGCCAGTCCAGGTAGTTGCGGGTGACACTGCAGAGACGAAGCCCCGTGAGCAGATGCCCACAGGGACATGGGAAGCATGAGGTCCTGTCCACTCACAAGAACGGTACATGACAACTGAATGACACCAGGGATGAGCATGGCTCAGAGAAGCCAAGGTCAGGCTTGCTGCAGGCCAAGGACTACCATGGCGAGTCCCTGACGCAGGCACCTTAGCAGCCGCCCTGGCACAGAGACCTTTAGGAAGAGCTTGTCACTGAGGGAGGCTAGGCCGCACAGCATGGCCTGCTCAGTGGTACAGAGGGAAGGCTGTACTTCAGGGACACAGCATCCTCAGGCCAGGGTTCAGCTTAGGCTGACACAGAAGCCAGCATGGGGTGCTTGAATGGATTAAACTAAGGAAATTGACAGGAATAGCCTGAATCATCTGGGGACCAATGTCACCAAGGTCCTCTAAGCAGGAGGAAGGCAATGCCCAGAACCTGGCAGAAAATAGTCTAGACATGGACCAGCAGCGCTGGGCTTCTGTGCTCGGACTCACTGGCCCACCACATGCTTGCTTCCTGGGCCACTGCAGGCAGCACCAGAGGCAGAGACAGGGCAGCCAGCATCCCCACAGACACTTATCTCAGGCCTGGCCCCAGAGGCCTTCTGGATTCCCGGCAGCCTACACAGGGACATGGCGACCCCAGGGTCTTGGGAGAGACCACACACGGTGGTCAGGGGCATGGTGTGGAAACTCACTTGAACTCAGAGGAGTGGTTGTCTAGCAGGGCGAGCTTGCTCAGCTCCTCATCCACCACATCCATTACATGCTTGGGGACCACAAGCTCCCTCAGGCGCTCCCGGAACTTCTCCTCGATGGCGTCTTTGTCATCCTTCTCCAGCCCCAGCTCCTTCTTGATGATCTTCAGCTGCTCCTGCAGCAGGTACTTCCTGTGCGTCTGCTTGATCTTCTCCTCCACCTGTGCAGGCAGCGCTCAAGCAAGGCAGTGCAGCCCAGGGCCCGCCCTCCACAGACCCCATGGCTTCCTACGGCTCCTGCACTGGACTCCCACAGGGCACCTGACGTGGGATTGCTGTCTGGATGGACTTCGGCTGTAATGGCCAAACAAACATACCCAACTACACTAACCAAACCACACAAATAAACTGTGTTGTTTTTGGTTTTGAGGAAAGTTTTGTAGCCCAGGCTAATCTTAAACTCCCTATACAACTAAGGCTGGCCCTGAAGTCCTGACCTCCTGCCTCCATCTTGCATGGCTTATGCTATGTTCACTGAGTTGTAGCCCAGCCTCCAGGAGGGGAAACTTTGTTAGTAAATAAAATAAAAGACAGCACATGCCTAATGTCCCAGCACACTGGAGACTGAGACAAGGGGACTGTGCAAGTGGAAGGCTCTGAGCCAGCCTGTTTCAGAGAGAACCCCTACATCAAAAAGTTAGCACTAGGATGCATCCCTTCAGCGCCCCTGCCCATCACCTCTCGGCCCAGGCGTTGCTGAAGCTTGCTCAACTCAAACTCCTTCTTCAAGAGTGACAGGG